GGCAGACGACTTCGGACTAGGTGCGTTCTACATAGTCGCCCTGACAACAAGAACAAGTTGCGACAACGAGATCAACCCACTTCTTCAACCTTTTGTTTAGCTGCTCTTATTTAAATTGCACTTTCCGCCTAAGCCAAGCTTATGAACACACTTTCGAGTGCTTCTCATCCCCACCAGTTTAGTTTATCCCTCAACCACATCTGTGCAAACCTTCGTGGTCATCATCCTGTTGTGTCATATTTGTGGTGCACCTGACTTTCGTATCGAATTAAGATGTGTTACGAAGAGATTCGTTGTTATAGCGCGCCAAAAGAGCACAGGACCGATTACACTTAATCTGGAATCGTTTAGTTTTCCTGGAACGTTCCGGTGTAAATGATCCTCATGACATCCTCCTTTAGCAACCTTGAAAACGTGCTGAGCCTCTAGTTTGATGCACCATTCATTCCGGCTGAAGAGGCAAATGAAAAAAGAATGGATGCGTTTTTAGCATTATCTTGGCTTATGATTGTTAAGCTCACTGGAATTTCGAGGGAAAAGGTTTCATGAAGGGATTTAAAGGCCAGAAGGTCCCCCAGAAGACGAAGGCGGATTCCTCTCGGCCAGCTGCCGATTAGATTGACTGGAACATTCTTTTTGCCACTGTTGCCAAGGCAATTTCCTATGATTCCAGTAAAAATGTGCTAAGCGTTCTATGAGATGTATTCACTTTATTTCGTTTAAGATGATGAAGGAATGGTAGTTGAATTTTCTCACAAAGATATGAGTAGAGCATTTCAACTAGCTTTGCTCTCCCAAAAGCTGTTCTCATCCAGAGTGGACTGTAGTTTAGACCTCGCCTAGGTTTTATCAACACCCCCAGCGGGACTCGAACCATGACAGTTAAGCATATTATAGCGACACGTTAACCAATACGCCACATTTGCATGAGGGCCCTTGGGTCACAGGGCAGATGTGCATTTCAAGGAAGGTCAGGCATTTTCTCATATCACATTCTGTGGTGGGATTGTCGATGGATCATAGTTGAATTTGCTATAGCAATCGACTACGTTAC